TGCTTTCTAGACACAATAGAAGCTACGAATTTCTTCGCACTGCTCCTCGCCTTCCGATTGTCCCCAAAAGCCCTATTGTGCACCGGCCTGCCTGAACCTTCCCTCTACGACAAGCCCTGACGTAAATCAATCTGGTACGGCCTGATCCGAGACCTCAACTTCTACAACTCCCACGCCTTTCAAGAGGAATCGTGCGAATACCTGTTAATCCATACCACAGAATAGCTTCCGGTTGCTTACCTGGCCTCCAGTCTCGATCCAGTCAGACAGTATGGCACGTTTCAGGCAATCGCAGGAGCGAAACACTCAGCCCCAGATCAGGTAAGTTTCCAAACCGCCTTCCCTCCGATCGAAGCAAAGTACTAACTATCTGAATGAGCAGACCTGGAGCAGCGGGAGGCACCAAGTATGTCGAACAATGATTTCTCCATCACACAGCCAGCTAACTCCTTCGGATAGGATTCAATGTTGTGTCGGCAATGAGTGGAAAACCCGCGACCAGTTCTCGAAGAACAAGCTTCAGGACTATGACCGACGTTTTGGTCGCGGCGCCACCCCGGCCAACTCTGGTATCGCATGCCGGGCACATACGGGTGGCGTGAGCCTTGAATTGCAGTGCGAGGGCCCTTGTGACAGAATCCTGAGCATTGACTCGTTCAGCAAGAGCAGCCGGCGCAACAACAAGAACGTAGGTTAACTACTTTGTGATTTGGGTTTCGTCGAGATACTAACGAGACCGGTTCAGTGGTGCATGGAATGCACAGAGTGGCAGCTATGCAGCGAGGTTGGCGAAACGCTGCCTCCTCCCATGGGCCAATTGGCAGTCGACGAGAGAACACCGTTCGATGCGCCTCTGGTTGCCACGGCTGGAAATTTGACCGACGACATGATATTCAACAAGGGCCGGGTTGCCCCGAGCAATGAGGATCGTGGTAACGAGGTAATTTCTGTCTTTGCATAATGAACAATGTCAACTGAACCAGCACTGACTAATCTCCCAGACCAAGCTTCAGAAGCCAGCTTCATCCGCGGGATTTGGGTCAAGAGGAGGTATCGAAAGCAAGATTCTACCCCACTCACTCAAGTCGGGACAGTCGGGGTGGTCGACACCTGTCAAGGTGCAAAACGGCTTTCTACCTCCCTCACTCGTTTCGGACTGGCCGACACCCGTGAAGAATACGTTGGAGGGTACTGCCACGATTTCAAGAGACTCTTACGACTTTGAGTTCGACGGAGAAGATACCGATGAATCCGTTTCAGGAAAGGATGTCGACGACTTGGCAACAGTGAGTAGTGATTCGCGCCCCGATTCAGTCTCGACTATCATCGCGACTAAACCGGCGGCCAAACCGCTTGGAAGAAACTTTGCACCCGTTCCCTTCAACGCCTTTGGCCCCAATGGCGAGCGGTGCGTCATGGTCAAGGACCGAACTGTTGCGTCGGACGCTTCGTCGACTGTAGGGGTCACCACCTCGAAGCCTGAAAAGGTGGGGAAGGGAGGTTGGGCCAAGCCGGTAAGTATTAAAATGTCCCCAAAGGACTTGGGAACGGTTACTGACATATGCTACAGTCCCAGCGGAAGACCACGCCTCAGCTGCCCAGTTACCTGAGGGACATGGCTGCGAACCCGCAGGTTCAGGCGACGACCAGGCGCGGCCGCCACTACGACGGAGAGTCAGACGACGAACTCTAGATTAAGGAAAGGCTTCTATGACTTCCGGTGGTTGCCTCTTGCTACTGCTTTTGCTCTATTTCTCTTTTTCTTTATTTCTTTTCTGGTGGGGATATGTCATCCAAAGGGTGGTTACCTTGGGATGCCATTATATGCACGCTTTCTATGGCTGATATCTTTCCTTTGCGCTTTCTTTCCAGAGTTGCTAGGCCACGATATTTTATGACGAGAGGTTACAGCACAGGCCAGTTTTTCTTTCATAATTGTGGATTTGACCTAGATTGGAAGCTCGAAAATTAACCGAGGCACTTAGGATTGCTCTTATATAGAGAATATCAAGTGTTGACTTTTTGCTGACGTTCCATATGGTTAACAATCTGAATTGTAGGTGATCTGGTGCCATGAGGTGGCTGTCAGTATAAGGGGTCACAAGCGCCAGCCACAGTGGTCTCCGCTTTCTTCTGCGCAACCTAACTTGTGAACCACATGAATGACCAGGCTAGGCGGAACAGTCCGACCATAGGAAGATGGCTGTAGGAAAGCAGAATAAGAGACCATCGGACAGTCAGCCATTTAGGATGACGAAACACAACAGGCCCAATGATGGCCTGGAAGACCAAACAGGTCTCCGGCCTTAACCGCCAGCATATCTGATTGATAGTTGACGTTCTACACATTTGTTGGAGGGAGACAAAAACTGTCGAAAGCCGGTTCTAGCAGCCTATTAGGCGACATGATTTATGGTAGTGCGGCATCACAAGGACGGTCTGGCGCTGCGTGTCAACAGTCCAGGCTGGCTGTCTTTACTCCGCCATTTCTCGGAGCCTTACATTTCTGAATATCCATTATTCATAGGATTAGCTCTGGCCACTGTAGTGCCAGCGCAGCCGAAATTCAAGTCCAAGGGGCGTGTTCCGCTAATGGGATATTGCAGGTATCTTGTTTTGTGTAGCACGAGGATCTGGGACCCAGGTGCGTCACTCATACGCCTGTTCGTATAAAATGTGCCCAAGATCCCGGAGTCTTTCTGCGCAGTTCAGTTCACCTTCTTCACAGTTTGATAATAACCACTGAGAGATATTAGCGAGCTGTGTCACTGCTTATGACTACCTACTTGCTGTTCGTTATCGCATCTTGTCCTCTGACTGTCTTGCTAACGCACGATAGGGACTGACTCAACTTCACATCACTCTGAACCATCTAACTACAAGTTGAAAACATACCTGACCACCACCGTGGATAATAAATACACAAACACGTGGCAACCACTATGGACTACCTAGGGGATGGCTGGAGCTCGACCGAAGCGGGGCCTTCCAAGACCTTTTCTGGCAAGATACACGAGATACTCCATAGCCATGGATCAGACAATAGCGACGACCACGGCAAGAACAACAACAACACGGACTCCTCCGACTTGGACAATAGACGCAAGAAGAGATCAGGCAAGAAGCCTGAGCGTCGTCCTCCTCCACCGAGCTCTTGGGAGCGTCCTAGTAGCTGCCTAAAGAACCGCCGCGCTTCATCCCCCAGACATCGGATCGAGAGGGGCAGAAGCATGGGGCACGCGCACACTCTAAAATAAGAAGACCAAAGAGGGACAGGGTCCGCTGGAGCGACGACGTGCTTGTCCGACCTCGCTCGTCGAGCCCTGAGGAGGTATTTGTCCGATCTGGATCGCCGAGCCCTGAGCCGTACCGGTCTTATTGGGCACAGGTGAATAGAACGAGATCGTTCGGGGAGATATGAGCCCCATCGATAAGAAGTGGGGGGTGTTGTTTGATGAGGATGGTGAGCCTACTAGGAGGGTCGGACAGGTGCTTGAGGGGGTTGCTAAATGTATTATTGTAAGTGTGTGTTATTCCAGGCCTTGTGTGGTTTTTGTGAGGTATGAGAGACAAGAAGATGTGGGTTATTCAGGGAGTCGGCTGATTGATAGCTACTGCAGGCGGCGGATGAGTCCACGTCGGATAGTAGGCCGATGACCATTACGCCTGGCATGATGCGGGGGTTCTACTTTCGGTATAATGTCGTTGACGAGGAGTTTGACTTTGCTTGTCAGTTAACTCTTCCCTCCCTGCCTCTCTCCCCTCGCCACCTACCATCAAACTAACAACAGCCCAACAAGCCCTCTTCAGCACCCGCGGCCCCGACAACAGCAACGACACCACCAACTACCGCCTCTCAGAAGTCTACCACACCCTCGGCTGCGAATACTACCTCATCCCCGCCACCGCCGGCGCCCGACCCTCCGTCCCCGCCCTGACAGCCCGCGGCTGGGCGCAATGGGCCATCATCGCCATCCGCGCCTCGCCCGACAAGGAAGCCGCGCGTCTCGCAAAGGTCGTCGCCGCGCTGCCCGTCGAGGCCGAGAGCCTTCTCGACGGCACCGGCCGACTCGAGCGCATGCCCAAAGGCATCTCCCGCCACCTGCTGCCCGCGACGGGCGACTGGGGCGCGCGCGGCTTGCTCCATATGGTCATGACGAAGCTGTTCCAGGACCAGGCGGCGGCGGCGGCGGCTGCCGCTGCCGAGGCTTCCTTTGCTAATAACTCGCCGTCTGCTCCGCATGTTTACCCGGTGAGGTCAGCGCAGACGAACGTTGCTGCCGGTGGTGGTGGTGTCCAGGGTGGCTATGGGTATCAAGGACAGGGACAGGGACAGCAGCAGGTGTATGGCCGCCATCCTCTTCAGATGGGGCAGGGGGCGCGGCCGCCGAGCCCGCAGCCATATCCGCAGTATAGCTACTCGGCGTCCTCGGTGGGCTACACGCCGGCGCCTAACCCGCGGTCCAATGCGTCTGGCTTGCCGGCGCGGGGTGCCGCTGGGATGGGACAGGCTGGCTGGCAGGAGCAGCAGCAGCCGTGGCAGGGGTATGGATGGTACCCGTATCCTTACTGATGATGGATCGATGATAAGTTTCCTTTGTGATGATACTGGTGGTTCGTTTTTTGCCCTGCTTTTGTCACTCGTTGAATGTGCGGTGGTGTTGGGACTTGGAAGGTGGTGAAGGGCAGACTTCTAAATGATAAGGGGGTAGGCTATGATATGAGGGGAAGATTTCGAGGGGGTGAAGGCGGTGGCGGTTGTGGGTTGGGTTACGAACTTACGAATAAGACGAGGCGAGGTGTTACGTGGGCAATGTACATACCTAGCGGAGGAAATACCCGAAATATACTCCAGATTGCAGGTTGAGCACTGTTATGATGTATGTGACGACGTGAATGTAAAGAGCAAAAAAGAGAAGAAAAGAGGAAGGAAGGGAATAATAGAATCCCTCTTTACAATACTATAAAAAGGGGGAGACGCAAAAAAGAACAACTTAGTTCGACGTGGGCCTGATTCGAACAGACGCCTCCGAGGAGACAGCATTTCGAGTGCTGCGCATTAGACCACTCTGCCACCACGCCTCTTATTATTGAGATCCACATTCGAAAGCTTTGTCTATATGCAAGTGTCCGTGCGCGGAGGCATCCCATGGCTGTGATTGGTCACTAAACAACTTACAGTCTTACACTTCTATCTTAGCCTACAGTATAACAGCGTGTATGTAACTCTTAACTACCTAAGTTTGCCTTCTATACATATTTAACACCTAATGGAATGCAGTCAAAAGGTACTTGCAATGCAGAATCCGCAGATATACGAAAAAATAATATCAAATTCACTCCATCCAGATAACGCGATCAATGTCAACCCAACTTTCTCTCCACCATCTCACGGTACCTCATGATCTCCTCCTGTGTAACAACTCGAGCGCCCTACGGCTATCTGCAACGTACAAGTCTAACTATCTACTCACCAGTACCAGTCTGCAAGAGCTTTCTCATACTGACCAACCTGCACCACTTACCAGAGCCTCACATCTTCAAAATCCGTAGCTCGACTAAACGCGTGCTCACTTGCTTTGCGCTACTTGCTGAGTTTATAGGGCTATCTGTATGCAAATCTGTTTGCCAGTCAGCATCGGCGTCAGTGTGAGTGTCATGCGCTCCGCACCACGCACCACAAACACTCTGCCCCATCAGGCTCTCGATCCTAGCAAGGTTTGGACAACATTACATTGAACCTGGTCAGATCCAGAGAAGCATGGCATATGGAGCCAACCAACCAGCCAGCCAGCCAGCCAGTGGACAAGGGAGCAGATACACACATACATACCTGTAGAGCCAACCTCTCGTGGCTACATACCTACCTTGATGGGTATCTGCACCCCACAAGACTCATAGCTGGAAAAGGTGGTGGGATAAAGACAGTGTCGCACCTCGCAGACGGGCATGTGGTCGTACATTACCTTCTTCTGCCCGAATGCGTACGTAGCTGGCTTGGCCACTTGACTATAGAGTCGTGGCTAGCTAGGCTAGGCTGTTCTTGGGTTGTGGAACACGACACGATCAGTAGACAAACAAACATTGTATGTAGGTAGATTAGCTAGTTGCCGCCCGGACAGACAGAAAGAGAAGCACTGCCTTTCTATAACATAGCCAAGTTATCTTGCTGGTGTCTCCACGTTGCTTAGCTGCACAGAGACACCCAAGAAACCAAAAGAAATACTGGTGCATCGTACGTGTACATAGGCATGTAGGCGGTAGTTACGTAGTCTCGACGTAGTTAGTTGCTGCGGCTGCTGTCGTTGTTCTTGTACATCGTTACTCAATGACAAAAAAACATGCGTGGTACAGAAGTGAAATCGATTACTACCCAACGTCCAGTAGTATTGTAACAAGAATTCCGATCCGTGGGTCAAATCTCGGCATCTTTCCGATCGACCATGAGACAAGATGATGGAGCCTGGGCTCCTTGTGCACCCTAACCTGTGCCCTGCTGTACGAATACTAGCACCCAAGGTAGAGTTCTCATGCCAGCCCTTTGATTCCTAGATAATGAAGCATTTCAAGAGTACACTACTTGTGTCACTGTCTGGCGTGTTACCATGATAGACAATTTCAGATCCATGAAAGTCAAGACTGAAGTCATCGCCCCGATCAGCAGTCGAAATGTGAATTAGGTTGTAGTTAGCTAGTAGTTTTACATGCAACGTGGCTTCTATGTACAGCGGAACAGCAGCCCCCCGTCCGTCTCAGTCCCTTTCCCTTTTTTTCCGCTTTCCTGTATGCTATATATAAACTTTAGAAATCATGAGAGGAGCAGTATAATACATGAGACCCGAAAACGCCGCCGTAGTCCTGGGGGCATATTGGTGGTAGTGCATGCAGGTTTGTCGTGGTGTTAAATAATGGTCATGGTGTTGATGGTAGTCGTAGTTATGGTGTGAGGTAATATAGAAGTAGTAGTAGTTGTACACAGACCACCCGAAAAAAGTGGCCATCGCTGGCGTCTCGCATCGTTCCTGTCCGTCTGTCCATTTAAGGGTTCTTGACGATGCCGACCTTGGCGGCCCGCAATATGCGGCCGTTGAGCTTGAAGCCCTTTTGCTGGGTCATGATGACCTCGTTGTTGTCCTTGCCCTGCATGGGCGTCATGAAGGTTGCCTCGTGCTCGTTGGGGTTGAACTTCTCGCCGTGGGGGTCGAAGCGCTCGAGACCGTGTTTCTTGAGCGTGTTCATCAGGATGTTCTCGGTCATCTTGAGGCCCTCGTACAGGTTGACGAGGTCCTGGATGTGCTCCGTCTTCTCCTCCGCGTTGAGCTTCTCCTCAGGCACCATGGCGAGGGCGCGGTCAAAGTTATCGACGCTGTCGATGAGGTCCTTGGCGAACTTTTGGATGGCAAAGTCGCGGGCGCCCTTCATGTCGCGCGCTGTCCGCTCCTGCAGGTTCCGGAAGTCGGCTACCGACCGCATGAACTGGTCCTGTTTTTAAGGAGTGTCAGCCGGGCTGGGAGGGTGGTACAAGACGATCCATCACATGGGGCCAAGATGGAGTATACGAACCTTCCAGTTGCGCGCCTCGGCATCCTTGGCCTCTAATTGCTTCTTGAGGCTGGCAACCTCTGTGTCTTCGCCATTTGTCTTGGAAGCCTCGTCTCCGTTCGTCTTGGTCTCGGTGGCGGCACTAGCATCGGCCTTGGGCGTCTCGGAGCTGTACCATCTCGGGGTTTGGGGGGCGATTGCGCGGGCCGAAAGCGATTGCGCCTTGAAAAACTGAGGTCGTGCTAATGGCCTTTGCGCAGCTAATCTGAGGGTCGAGCTGGCCGCCTTGGACGGGGTGGAGAGGACTTGTCGTAGCATTGTCGATTGTGGGGGTGTAATGGCTGATATGGTGATGCAGTGAACTGTCGCGTGCGGAAGGCGCTCAAATTCAAGAATTTTATGACGAGCCGCGCACCCGACAGGGGCCTTCGGTCGTGGCCTACCGGGCAGGCGACGGGAGGCGGATCATCTGGCGGCCCGTCCTGGCGCTTTTAGCCTTTTGCTAAGCAGTGAGGTCGCCCTGTGCATGGGTGGAGACATTTCAGCCCCCCCGCCCCCCCTGGCTTTGTTCATCATACACTCGGGTGTGGGTATATTTACAAAGTCAGGTGGAGATAAGCGGCCGCCAAGCTAGACTTCTAATCGAACCGCGCTTTGATCTTGCGCCGCCGAATTTCTAGCCTCAATCATCCCGTTTGGTCGCCGCCCGTCACCCGTCACCCGCCTGTAGCCTGCCGTGACAAATCTCCGAAAAAACAACAAAAAAAAAGTTAACTCGTTGCTAAACTCACAACCAAACCTCCCACGCATTGCAACCTCACGAATCGCCCGCGATTGAAAGGAGGCCCACCTCACAACCGACAAGATGGACTACGATCCAATGGCAATGGACGACTCCGAGTCCCTGGGACCGGTCGTCAAGATCTCCCAGGTATGTCTTCTTTGTCGCAGTTGCTCCTCCTGCTGCTGCCGCCGCCCCTTCTTCTCCTCACCCTGCCCCCAGGAGCGACGTAGTTTCTAAACAAGGTCCCCGTCAAAACAAATATAGGCCGACAAGCAGCGCGTCAAGTTCGAGCTCTCCAACGCAGACATCGCCTTCGCCAACTCGCTCCGCCGCGTCATGCTGGCCGAGATCCCCACCATAGCTATCGACCTGGTCGAGATCGAGGAGAACAGCTCCGTGCTCGCCGACGAGTTCATCGCGCACCGCCTCGGCCTCATCCCGCTCAGCGCCGAGGGCGTTGAGAACCTCTTGTACTCGCGCGAGTGCGACTGCGATGAGTACTGCGAGAACTGCAGCGTCAAGCTGGTCCTGCACGCAAAGTGCACCGGCGACGAGATGTCGGTCTCATCGCGCGACCTCGTCCCCACCGCCGACCGCATCAGCCAGAACCTCGGCACCCCCGTCATCGCCGACGAGGACGGCCTCGGCTCCCTCATCCTGAAGCTACGGCAGAACCAGGAGATCAAGCTCGAGTGCATCGCCAAGAAGGGCATCGCAAAGGAGCACGCAAAGTGGGCGCCCAGCGCCGCCATTGGGTTCGAGTACGACCCGCATAACAAGCTGCACCACACGGATATGTGGTATGAGTCGGATGCAAAGGCAGAGTGGTGAGTATTTGTTTGACTGCGATTGAGTGGGCGCGTTCAGTGCGTGTATGCGCACGTGCGTTCGCGCGCAGAGCAGCTTTACTGACAGTTCAAATCACAGGCCGATGAGCGAGTATGCCGATTGGGAGGAGCCCCCACAGGAAGGCGAGCCATTCGACTACGACGCAGTCGCTAACCGGTTCTACTTCAATGTGGAGACTGCCGGCAACATCCCGCCCGAAACAATCGTCACAGAGGGAATCAAGGTTCTGCAGCAAAAGCTTGCCGGCTTGATCCACGAGCTTACCGAGGGCGATAATGAGAACGGCAACGGCGACTACAACGGCCCGCGCAGCCCAGAATTTAACGGCGGTGGTGAAGGCTGGCAGGACCCGGGCTACACCACACCCTACGGAAACGGAGGCAACCAGAGCGCTTGGGGAGGTGGTGGCGCAACTACTCCATATGGCCAAACTCCTTATGGTGGTGCTGGCCAAGGCGGGTGGCAATGAGACACGAGATCTCCGATATATACCTCGGAGGGGGTGTGTTGAAATGCCTGGAGCCGATCATGAAACTGCAGCCAAGAAACTGCAGCAAAAGGAGATGGGCGGCTGCTTTTCATGGACTCCCTAAGCAAGCTATCCGGTCTTGAGCTGTGGTTGCATAATTTTTATTAACAGTGTACTTATACATTGTAGCCTGCGTATAGCGAAGTATTTCCTTCGCCCAGGCTACAGCATTGCGTTCTGCTATTTTTCTTTATTCAGGTCGCCAAGATACCATTAGGAGTTTTGGAGAGGGGAGAGTGAGTGGTGCCAGGGGTCTATCTTCCCAATGAAGATCCATCTCCCGTCTTTTTGGGAATTATGGGGGACCTCCCTGCAAAATAGGTATAGAGAAAAAAAGATAAACAAAGCGGTTAAAGAAAAAAGTTGGTAAAACATTCG